AATAGATTTGGGGTAGTTGTTGGTGGGGAGTGGCAATATTGAATACCATTAACGTACATACTGTCCGAGTAGGTTCGTGGTAGCTTCTAGTAGGGGCGGCAACCGTATACAATATCGTTAATGTACAAACTGTCTGAGTAGGTTTCATCGCGTCAAAAGCTGAAATGGTTGAAAAAGTGTTTTTTCTTTGCACCGACGAGTACGTAATTTCCAACTTTGTGTTTACGCGGAGGAAAATCATAGCACCAGGCTGGATATCTACTGTCTGAACAGGTTTGGTAGTTGTTGGTGTGGGCGGCAATATCGAACACCGTTAATGTACACCCAGTAAAAGCATTACTAATAACCTGATACAAAGCCCCAGCGTTTTCGTGGGTCCTGTTGTAAGGGAACAGTTCGTTCTGGTAGCTTCTCTCGTTCAACGATGGGAAGTAGCGCATACGGTTGTTGGTTTGCTCCTTGTTGCCGGTGAACCGTGTCAGCGGTACTTTCGGAAAGAACTCTGGCACTTCCGGGCTGAGGACCGGCGACAGGTGTTTCCTGGGGATTCCGTAGGTCTCCGTTCGCGCAGCCTGGTATTCTGTTCTCAGTATCAAAGGTCGATACTGAAGCGTGTAATAGAATTGCTGTTGACGGTCCTTGCTCTGCCAACTTTGCTCGCGTTGATTCGTAGCTGTCTGATGCGAGGACATCCTCTGTTGGGGGAACTGTTGCTGGCTTGTACCGGACTTCCACAGGTTACGAACCGCCTCGCTGGTCACGCGAACGTGCAGCTGCATCTCCATGGGATTCTCGATGGTGTAACGTCGATGCCCGTAGCAGACGAATTTTTGGTCTGGATCTGGCTCTTGAAGGATATCGTTTTTCGATTAATGAGAACAATCTGTCCCAGAATTAGTGTAACAACCAGAAATCGGGGGTAGCTGAGACGATTCCGAATCACGATTTCCTTCGAAAAAATGTCGGATGGTGGCTTTTGAATTATTAACGAGAAACCAGCGACTAATCGCAGCGCCAGAGTAGCGCGCGCTCAGCCGCGGAAGCATATGCTCGAGCCAGGATTGTATAAAAAAAATAATTCAAAAACGAAGGACCATCCGACATTTTTGCAAAGGAAAAGTGTCCTTCAGAATCGTCTCATCTACCCCTCATTTCCGATTCTTACACTAATTCTGGGACACCCTGCATTCCTCGGTGAGTTTATTACCGATCAGATTGGTTTCCTTGGTTAGTCGCGACTCGGTTCTGGATTCGTGGCTCTTCCTCATCGGGCTAGACATCCGCGTGTTGCGTTGACTCTGCGCAGAGTCCTCCCAACGCATCTCGAAACCGTGGCCCGTGTTCGATAGGTCCTCAGGATCTGGCAGCCTTACCGCTGAGCTTAGCAAGATCAATTCCCCCGCGGATAGGTTAACACAGGTCCGTCGAATACACGGGACTATGGAATAGAGATGGGCAAAATTTGTATTCGAGTAATAGCAGATAAGAATTTTGCCCATCTCGGAAGCATCCGCTAAAGCCGGCGACTGACTTGCAACAGAACATTGTAATGTAACGCGAGCATTCGCTTAGTCTGGACGGACTGGTCTGTCGGTTTTTCGACGAACCTCTTTGATCGTCTACTTTTCACTGAACCGAGTGTAGGTAAGCATCGAGAGAGAATTCAGCCGAGAGTTCGAAGCGAGCATTCGTGATTCCAAAAAGGACCTTGTAATGTAACGTTGCTGTCGAACCGTAAAATTCGTGCCGAGCAGTTACATTACAGCGTTCTGTTGCAAGTCCAGTCGCCGGCTTAACGTTTACGTTGAGATGCTAACAATTCACGATTGGCTCGCGCCCCGCCAGCAATTAACCAGGCGAAACGTTCCTCCACCTCGGGCAGCATCCAGGGCTCGGTGACTTCCGTCCAACAGAAATTAGGCTGAGGAACGGACGTCGCATTGTCGTGCTGTCTGTAAGGGCCCTCGTGTTCCTCGTTGTACTCGTAATCGTCATAAGTTGCCAAACGCGAGTCCGGTATTACGTCGCGAACGCGCCTCGGTCGATAGCTACCGTTTTCCTTGTACTTTGCAGTCAGCTTACAGTTCTGCCGTGGAATAACATCGTTCTTTTTTATTATTCTAAAATCGTCGTCACGCGACGGTAATCCGAGTATCGATTTTAGGATAACTGGCACGGTTGAGATAGCAATAAACGTAAATTGTTCGTGTTTGTTTGGTCGAAAGGACTGGAAAGGCCGCGGGAACTTTACCTGAATCCACAAAGAGCGATTCAACTTTCGAAACGGGTTTCCCGCGTCGAAGGTCCAGGCTTTGTCGGCGATCAGACTTATGTTCGCATAGGCGCTGTTCAAGAGCTCTTCGTCGTACGACGGGAATGAAGATATCATTATCTGGACATGCTAAACGATCAAAAATTTATTTCACTAACGAATCGAATTACGCACGACGAGTTCTCTTCCTTGTTTATAGTTATTTCTCGGAGATATATATTATCGGTGCATCTGTAAATTCAACGGTCATTTCATTGACAGCCTGTCGTTTCGCCGAGACAAAACATCGTATCGATAGGGGACTCGAAGCGAGTTCAAAGCAGTCCGAAGTTTAATAGAATTCTATCTCGAAGATTATTATGTTATTAGACACGGTCGATCATCCGTGTCTTTTAATTTGTCTAAATTGAATAGTCGCTGTCACGTCTCCGAATAAATGCTTCGTTGCAAACATGTACATAAATAAACTTTCCACTTGTGTACATTTATAGCGAGAAATTTATTTGGAAACATCGAACTTGTCGTTCAATTTGGACAAATATGTATACAGGGTGTCCCAAAAGTCGGGGAGGAGCCGAAAATGGGGGGTAGCTGAGACGATTCTGAACAACAATTTCCTTTGCAAAAATGTCGGTGGGGGCTTCGTTAAGGAGATATTAAGCGAAAACCCCGACCAATCAGAGCGCGCGTAGACCGTTGGAGCGGCCGCGGTAGCGAAGGCTATGTGCTAGGCGGCAGCGCTTGTACGCGAACAAGTGACTCGACGTGCATCGAAGGACATTGGACGCGGCCGCTCAGCGCGTAGCCTTCGCTACCGCGGCCGCTCCAACGGTCTACGCGCGCTCTGATTGGTCGGGGTATTCTCTTAATATCTCCTTAACGAAGCCTCATCCGACATTTTTGCAAAGGAAATTGTTGTTCAGAATCGTCTCAGCTACCCCCCATTTCCGGCTCCTCCCCGACTTTTGGGACACCCTGTATACTGTCGAATCGATCAACCTCCTCCTCTTCGAAGTCGGTTAAAAATCGCCTCGAGCGTGGATGGGAGCAATGGAAATTCAAAATACAGTAATTATTATTTTTTTTTTTTTTACAAATGTTTTGTTTATTGCTAATACGATCGATGATTAGGTGTTACACGCACACTCATTCACGCACTTTGTACAGACCAGGCGTACGATATTTACACAACGATTTACCCGTAATTTACAAAATTTAGACGATCGATGGTGAACAGGTAGTCTACGATAGCACTTCGAGTCACGGAAGAAATCAGTCTGGCGGTCGCGCTCCGTTCGACGTTCCCGACGAAATACTATACGATACAGGAAACGCGTTTTGCCGACGGTACGCGTCGCGATTTCGACGACCATCGACGATACTCCGCTGACTTTACGAGAACGTCGAACGAGCGGTTGCAGTCGTCGCGACGCGACTGCCGCGAAAACGCTGGTACGATTCTAAATATCGTGTCCGTTCGTTCGTTATTGCGCGGCTGTATCGAGATTATCTGGCACAGAGCTTTAAAAGTACTTTATTTACAGACGTTGGTATTTAATAATTATTTATAATTGCTCGCAATACAGTCGTGCAATATTTACCGGACAAGTAAGCCCCCTCCCCCGTTGCATTGTATGTATACGATTGTTTTCGTTCATCGTTTAACGCGTTGGTTGCCACGTCAGCCAGAAATGGGTGTCATTTTTATCGAAAATAGAGTATTTGAGCCGTTTGGTTTCGATTTCAAAATAGTTTTATCGATCGACGTCTCGTTCGGTGGGTGATTCAATTCACGAGCCGAACGATTGGGTTTTGGATAGACCGCTATTTGTACATCCTGTACTCTTTATATAATAAAGTACAGCTACAACGCTTTTCATTAACGAATCAAATAAATTAACTCGATCGGTGAAAAATTGAATACCAAGCCAAACGTCTCGAGACACGATTCAACTTCGTAGAAATTTCCACTGGTTCGTAATTTTCGTTAGTTCGCCAGCCAACGCGTTAATTGGAGGATCGAACGCATAAATAACGAAGAGATTTGTTCACGCGGAAGGTGAATGAATAATTCATGCGATAGGGGGTTGAACGGCGCGGGAGCACTTGTTGGCATAAATTCGTTAAGATTCGATGAAAAGTCCGCTTAGATTTATCCCTATCGCGAGAGTCTCGTTTCGTTCGAACGAATCGCGGATTATTTACAAATGCACAATCGTTCCGACGCAGCGAACGAATTCGACAAACCGATCGTCCTCGAAGGTTCTATCGTTATGGCAAGACAGGTTACGTTCTCGGTCCCCGGACGCACAGGAGAACGTAACGATTCGCTTACGAGTCTAACAACGTCTATTGGTTCGCGTCACTGTATCGGCAATCGAAGTTCTATTAATCGTTTCTCACGGAATCGCGAGTCTTCTTTCGGTCGATTAAATACACTTTTAATGCACCGACGTTGGAAGACGTTCATCATCCAAGTCGGAGTGTGATCAACTGGCCGCTCGAGGCTGTCGCATCGTTTAGCTTTCCCGCACCTTTGGTAGCTCCGTCTTCTTTCAAGGGCTAATTAATTACTCCGGGGTTTCCGTCTCCCGAAAGATTTCGTTTACCTAGACGAAAGAGTCTCGAACGGATCACCCAGCTGCACTGAATTTTCTCTAACTTAATATCCCAATATCTCCCTTCTCTATTATTCAGATAGCAAACTTGCCTGTTCCCTCTTCGTTCTCTGTCTCCCGAAACCCTGTCACCCTAAAAAGTCTCGAACCACGATTCGAATGATCTCTAACGCTAAAACACCGTTCAAACGTACTCCTCGGATGGCTTGGGTATGCTGGCTGGTAGCCTAAGCGTACTTGGCACGCGACTTGCGCTATCGGGCAGTTCAGCGATATCGATGAACACACCGACCAGGCTATCGAAGTTCAGGCCCCAGTTGAGCAGGTAGTCCCAACTGAGAGCGGTGGTGGTCGTCGACGGCGATCCGTTGTTCGAGGGCCTGTACAGTCCTCCCATGTGCGTCGACAGATCGTCGTCGGAGGCTACCAAGGTGCTCAGAGAGCCGCGAAAGGAGCTGTCGAACGCGTCGTAGTTGACGTTGGGTGGAAGGGGAGGTTTCGTGGTTTGCGAGGACTCGTTGCTCCGTTGGTTCACCTCCTCGTCGTCTTGCTTCGCGAAAGGGTTATCGGACCGTTTATCTCCCACCAGGGAGGTGTTGTCGTACTCCGAGCAGGTGAAGCTATCGTTGCCACTTTCGTCGGTGGTCGACGAGTTTCTTCGCTCGAGCCTCTCGACGGGCGGCGTGTGTCGTCTGTGAAGATGCAGAGGACCGTGCGTAGGCGGTCCTCTGGCTTCGCTGGACGAGCTCACGGCGTCCAAGGTCGACACCAGGCTCGATGTCCTCGGTCTAGAGTTCAGTCTCTCGATCTCCTCTGCAGTGAGGCCCATGGGGCCCGAGGAGACGTTGTTCACCGAGTTCTCGTTGTTCGATTGGGGCGCCTTCCGACTGGCCGTCGATCCAGACAGCTGACTCATGATGGGCGAGTTCAAGCTCCTCTCGCTGTTGGAGTTCAAGGCGTCCTTGCCTACTCCTCCCGAAGAGGACGTGGTCGCTAGGAGCGCGCTCTGCAACGGTTTGCCGCTGATGTCGTGGAGCGTCAGTATTCTCGGTTGTTGAGCGGACAGCTCGCTGCTGGGCGATAATCTCGCCAACGGCGTGCTCTGGAGCAGCTTCTGGGTCGGTCCCGTCGGTTGACTGACATTCGGCGGCGGTAGAGCTCGCGGCGGGAACGGTCCAGCGTGTCTGTGCTGTTGGCTCGCGTGCTTGTGATGATTGGCGTAGTTGCTGATAGGCGGAGGCGTGGCTTTGTATTTCCGCATGCCGTCGCGATAGCCTTTGTAGTGGTAGACGATATCGATGTCGCTGGGAGCGATGGAGCTCGCGTTCTCCAGATCGTAGTGCTCGGGCATGTCGGGCTCCGGATTGTGCTCGTGGGAGTGCAACGAGGATTGTGCAGGCGGGGGGAGAGGCGGATGCTCGTCCCTGATGGGTGGCGACTTGGTCACTTCCCTTTCGATGATGTCGGGTCTCTGCGGCCGATGCTCGGACGTCGAGTTGATCTCCCGTTCTTTGTACTTTTTCGAGATCAATTCTGGGCCCATGTGCCCCACTCCGCGTAAGTCGGAGGTGTCAGAGATGTAGGTGTTCTCGTGGCGAGACATCAGGTTGTCGTTTCCTGTCCCCACCAGCGGGTTCCCGGTCATTATGGCGTTGGTGTTTTTGTTGACCACCGACGGCGCGGACTTCTCCTTGTTCTGTCGTCTCAGACGGAACACGATGAAGCTAACTAGAATCGCTATCAATAGGATCACGAAGAAAACTATGACCAAAGTGATCCCGATGCTCAGAGGATCGGCCGTGGCCGCGGCGCTGATTCCGATCGGTCCTCTACACCCGGTGTTCACTTTTCCGTGGTACAACACGTCCTTGAAGATCGATCCGGAACCATTGAAGGGCTGGATCTCGTTGTTGATGGTGAAGTTAGCCAGACAACCCTCGAAACTCCTAGCGCCAGCGCTGTGAGTGTAGTACAGGTCTTGGCTAACTCCGCCGATCGACAAGACGGACAGGTACGGGTCGAGGAAATCGTGGACGCCCGCGGAGTCGAGTTCCTCGCCAGTCTGGATCCCGTCGATGAACAGCCTCAGCCCTCGGAAGTAGGAGTGCAGGGTCAGGTTGTGCCAGCGGCCGTCCGCTAGGCTTCCTTCGATGCTCGCGGACATGTTCACGGGAGATCCCAGAAGGGACGCGTAGAACAGTTGCCCGTTGCGAAGCTAGAAACGTTCGATTTAAATTAATTGCATCGATTTTGTGGAAAACGATATCGATATTTTCTAATTTTACCACAGACGGGCCGTACAGATTTTTCAAGCGAATTTTCACAATATATATATCACAATATTAGGTCGTCGCAAAAGTTTCTTCCATTTCATTAATGAGTAATCTCGTAGACACATAACCAGGGTTTGAATTGTAATCAATTATGATTTTTTAATTAAATAATTAATTTAATGTACAATGTACATTGTATGTACATGCATTGTACATTGTATATTATATAATATGTACATACATTGTACATTGTACATGCAATGTACATTGTTTGTAATTTATTGTCAACTAAAGACGGAAATTAATTGAAAAAGTAATTAATTCCTCGCAACTCTGTACATTATATTCCATGTCTAATGTTACATTATTGAATTCCGTATTCTGCTCCATTACTGTTACAATATTAACATCTAAGAAATTAGGTTGTCTATTTATATAAACGCTACAAACACATAAAATAACTGAATGCAAGTCACGAAAGAAACTTTTGGAACAACCTAATACAATTTAGACTATTCTCCGCTAAAAGCTTTCTAGAAGCTCCTAGGAGCTTCTTACCTCCACGGATGTAAAGTGTTTGTTGGTCGCCGCGTATATGAGAATACCGTCGGGCTTCACCGTTCTGAATATTATCCCCATTGTTTTGAACAGAGAGGAGGTGGTTATGAAGTTGGTGTCCTCGCTGACGGCTCGTGTCGTTCGATTCTTCTGCCACACCGTCGAGCCTCCGTACAAGTATTCCAACAGTTGCATCCTTCTGTGCTTTTCTGAAATCTGTGCGAAACGGTCTTATTCTAAACTTTCTCAATCATAGAGGAGCTTACAAATTTATCATTATTATTATTATTAACACTCGATTATTATTTGCACGCGAGAGGTGACTCTCATTCGCCATTAGATTTCACGCAGCAAATCTACGATACCCAATGTTTCTTTAGGTTTAATTACTTTGGTGCTCCAAGTGTCGATAAAACATCTGTAAACATCTCGCGTACCTTGAATTCGACGTAACCGCCATCGCTCAGGGTAACAGGTTCCAGCGCGCCCTCGCAATTAGGCGCGTTCAGGGAACCGCACTGGCAGGAGACTTGGTGCCACTTGTCGTAGCACTTGACGTTGGCTCCGCAGACGGAGACGGAGTCCTTCGCGTCCCTTAGACAGGGATTCTTGTTCGATCTGGCGCACGTCGACTTGACGCCACGCGACGCCAATGGATTGGACAAGTTCAGGGCTCTGCCGTTTATAGAGACGGAATGCACGCACCCGACAAAGTCGTCCGAGTGCACTTGTCCCGGCCTCTCGAGCACTGGATCCGCGTTCTCGAGTCCTCCCACTAGGAGCGGGTTGTTGTTGAAATTCAGAGTACTGTGGAAATGAATTACGCTGATTAGCTCGCTCTTCGGAGTCGTTCTACGTCGACGTACGTCGCTTTTCTACAGAATCTTTGGTTCTCGTTTGGATTCAAATACGTTAGAAGCATAGAGATATTCAGACAGAGCTACCGTTTCCCTGTTTCATGGTTGAAAACCATCGCGGTTTCGTTTTTTACTTTTAAACGTAATCAAACAGAAGCGAGTACGGACACGTTTTGCGTTTGATTGCATCGATCGCCGAGCTATGAGATTTATTTTGCGTTAATGATAAATTAGTTTTGCCTATCCTGCATTCTAGTAAATCGGTTCTCAATCACTGTCGTTGAATCCGTGATCGAGGACTTGTTAGCTTTTGCTTTGTCCAACGAAAGACATCTAACGAAAGTATCGTACTGACCCAGTTGGTCCCACGTCATCCGCGTAGCAGGTGCCATCGCCAGGCCTACAGTCGTCGCAAATGTCCCCGTGTTCCCTGCACACGGAAACGCTCAAAGACACGACCCTTCCGTTCCTGGTCGCCGTCACTTTCCTCCATTCCCCGTTGGACACGGACAGCTCCGTCTTGATAGTGATCGACGTGATGGCGCTCCTCGCACCGCCGTACGAGAACACCACCCTCCCGTTCACCAGCTCTAGCACCACGAAGTCCGAACGTCCTCCCGCCTGCGGGGCGTAGTTGTACAGCAACAGTGCGTCCGGTTTCGTTGTCGCGAACACGATCGTTATGTCGTTCGTGTTCGAGTCCAGAGCTGGGAAGGCCATGTAGGATAACTCCTCGAAGCCGAACGTCGATCTCTCGCAGTGTCTCCCGTACCGACCTTCGGGGCAGCTGCATCTGTACCTGAAAAGAAATTCGGGGCTGCTGAGGTTTCTGGAAGCTTCGGTAGAGTAGGTATTTGCTGACATTCGAGTCCAAATGAATAGAGAAAACTTCAAGGAATGAAATGATCATTTTTTCGGATTTTTAAAAACGTGACCTCGAGGTGGTATTTGTAAAATGAACATTCATTTATAATTTTTAATATCGCAAAAATCAGATCCGCTCCAAGTAAAAATATATTCAGGAAGAGTAATCCTTCCCGATTAAAATGAAAAAAAAAAAAAAAGAACAGGTCGATAGGATGAATAGTTCCAGAGAAAAAAATTCAAATGTAGCTAACGCTTCCTCTCGCTATAGAAGTTACATAGAAGCTGATCTGAACAGTGATAAACTTGCAGTGCACCACTGGCTCGACGTACCCAGGTTTCTCTCCCACGCACAATCCTCCGTACAGGCAAGGATTCGGTCTGCAGGAATCGGTGACCGCCTCGCAGTGGTTTCCTCTGTAGCCAGCGCGACACAGGCAGAAGAAACTGAAGCTGTCGGGGCTCTTTCTGCACGAGCCACCGTTCCGGCACGGATTGCTCGCGCAGGCATCGCCTCTCTCCAGCTCGCACAGCTTCCCTTCGCGATCGATCGGACAGGTGCACTGGAAATCGTACCCCAATCGACGACATTGTCCTCCCTGTAAATAACATATCAGAGATCATTGACGAGAATGTAGTGGAAATGAATAACGTTTTTACATCCAACGTGTAGGTGTAGATCAGAGTTGTAAAGTAACGATTACTTTTGCATTCGTTACACTTTGGAATAATTACTTTCGAATTAGAAGGTAGTTAGAAGGTAGTTTAAGTAATTCTTGATCACTTTGTTTTTAGTTATGCAATACCTTATATTCTCAATTACTGAGAAATTCGATTTTAATAACTACTTATAACTGCCCAGAAAGTAATTCAAAGACGTCTCAGATCTAAAGTAGTTAAGAATACCTAAAAGTAATTAAAAGGTGTCTCAAATCTAAAGTAGTTAAGAATATCTAAATGTAATTAAAAAGTGATTGTAACTACTCACCAGTAGACAGGGGTTCGGAGAGCAAGGGTCTTGCCTTCTCTCGCACCTCTCGCCAGTGAAGGCCTCGCGACACTTGCAGGTCATCTCGTGCATCATCCTCGGCGACGTGAGGATCAACGCCTGACTGTCTGTGATCCTGGCGTCGTCGTAGATGACCAATTTGTCGCTGCAAGTGCCACCGTTCTCGCAGGGAATGTGCTTGCACGGCGAGTAACCGACCGTGAACGTTGTTCCATCCAGGAGCGATCGAATTTTGTCGCGATTACGGTTCAGTAATTCGGTGACCTCGTACTTGCTACGATATCCTGCGGGAACAAAGGAATATTCCTGCGTTTAGGGACGAACAAAAGATTTGTTTACATTCAACGAGAATCGAATTCAAGTCCGAAGCGTGATAACCGTGGTTTTAACTACCTCGGCTACACTTTCGTCTTTGCTACCCAAATGATATTGAACGTAAAGTAGAAAAAGAACTTATCGTGATTTTAATTTCAAAGTTTACGTACACAATTTTCTACAAAGATATAAGTTTTCTGTTTCGTTCTTCTTCGTAGCGTTTAATAAAATGTAATAGTTATTATTTGCGGTCTGTACTGTAAATCACGCGTTCGCGTAATTATTTCAAAGTAAAAACCCAACAGTATCGAAAGTTTCTAACGGTGTGAATCGGATTGACTCGGATAAGAGTCGGTAAGCGAGAATTACCTTGAGGCGACTCCACTGCCAGGTGAATATTCAAGTCGGACGCGTTCTCTCCGAGACTGAAGATCTTCAGAGTATCCCCCGCGTCGATTACTTCTTGCAAGAGGTCCAATAGGGCGCGGTAGCTTTGGCTTAAAAAATCTTTCGCGGTCAGCTTGGAGACTTGCAGAGTCACGCTGTTCTCGATGGTGGTGTTGGTGAAGACGAGGAACTCCACGGTGACTTTCGATACAACGTTAGGGTGTCGACCGTCGTTGCCAGAAACGCTCAGGGAGTAGCCGATTCCTGCGACAAAGAATTTTAAGGCTCTTTCTCCTATGGTCCTCCCCCGATAGAGTTTAATCGAGGCAGTGACGAACAAAACCGTAGGCTTCGAATAAATCTAAAGTCTCGTTTCTTTCGTCGACCATTTTCCAAAGAAGGAAACGAGAGAAACACATCGGTGAACTTCGGATTTATTCGAAGTCTAGGATCTTTTTGTCCATCATTGAATCGAGGCTGTAAGCCTAAACGCTAACCTGGAGTTATTTTCCTCGTGTGAAGATCACAGGCGGTGGGAATGCTTAGAATTTTCGCGTTGGCGCCTTGAAGTATCTTGCAGGAATAGCTGCCAGTGATGTCTGGATCGTTGGGGTGTACGTCGGCGATCTTACCCAGTGGGATCTGCTCGTTGAAGGAATGAACTATCACGTGCACCGATCTGGGCGACGATGGGCTGTCGTTCTGGTCCGTAACGATCACGGTTATCGTATGCTCGCTTCTCATTCGCGGCACTCCCGAGTCCTCTACTTCGATCTGCGGAAAAATCCACGTTTGAATTAGACAGGCGGACTAACACTTAGATATTACAACGACGAACTGTTTATTTACAAATGCTATTACACGCTATATATTTCTTATAAGATGAATATTAAATAATACTTATTAAATAATAATACTTATTAAATAACAATACTTTGACGATTTTTGTCGCCCCTTTAATCTGAATCGTCGCTACTAAAAACGTGTCTTAGATCTGTTAACGGTATCATCATTCTGTAAAAAGTTAATCAAAATCGTTGCCTCTTAGTTGGGCCCTATAATACACAGGTATGTCTCGGAGAAGTTTTCATAGTCCCGTATTAATTCTAAATACGTAGTACCAACCACGAGATCCAGTTGAGGCATAGCCTCCCTGTCCAAGCTCCTGGTGGTCCTCAGGACACCGGTGTGTTTGTCCAGGGTGACGACGTCGCCCTGCCTGGCACCGACCAGCCTGTACGAGAAGGGTGCTCCGTTTGGCGGGAGATCGGGATCGGTGGCGCTGAGGGTCATCACAACAGTACCAGCGGGTTCGTTTTCGTTCACGTAGCCGATCACTTCGGGTGGATCGAAGACGGGGCCGTTGTCGTTCACGTCCAGGAGCTCGATGTGAACGACAGCCGTGCCAGTTTGAGGAGGAGAGCCCGTGTCGATGGCGCCGATCGTCAGATCGTACACGGGAATCGTTTCGCGGTCCAGCTGCTTGGCGGTCTCGATGTCACCTGTCTGCGGATCGACTTTGAACGCCTGACCGATGTTACCGCCGATGATCGAGTAAGAGAACTGGTTGTTCTGCGGTCTGATGTCCTTGTCGACGGCCCTCACGGTGAGCACGCGAGTCCCGTGAGCGGCGCCTTCAGAGATCGTGGCGTCGTAAGCGCTCTGCAAGAACTCCGGTGGATCGTTCCCGTCCTGGATCGACACTATAACTTGGGCCTCGTCGGTGTCGTTGCCGCGTATCCCGCCCCCGTTCTTCGTCATCACCGTCAGCACCACTCTGTTCTGCGTTTCGCGATCCAGCCTGCGCGACACGCGAATTATTCCTGTCTCCGAGCCGATGGAGAAGCCGCGATCGTTGGACGAACCGACGAAGAGATAGTAAACTCGTCCGTCCTCTCCGGCGTCCTGGTCGGTAGCCTGGACCAGGCCGACGGAGGTGCCCACTTCGGCGCTCTCCGACACGTCCATGTGGAACACCGGCTGAATGAACTTGGGGTAATACTCGTTGACGCCCGTGATGTGCACCTGGACCGTCGTGAAACCGACCATCTGAGGGTTCGAGTCGGGATTCGCGGCGACTATGTCCAGCGTGTACTCGTTGGCCTCCTCGTAATCGAAGCTGATCAGGGAGTAGATTTCGCCTGTGTCCTCGCGAATACGGAAGTGCTCCTTGCCTGTTCCACCTAGGATATTGTACTGCACCACGGCGTATTTGGGAGAGTCAATGTCCTGAGCGATCACCTGAAAGTTTTCACAAATGTTATCGTAGGGTTTCACTTTTATTGTGTTTTCTTCTATGTAACACTCGTATCGTCTTATGTCAACCTCTAACTTCTTGCGTTGCATTCTTTGCATGACCACGTAGGTACAAACTACGTACGTAGGTCCGAACGTAGCAACAGTAAAGTCTCCATAAATGCACTAAAACTATCCCCGTTACTTGGGGGTGTAATACCCCTTGGGGAGCCCAGGAGTTCGAACGCCGAGAAAACAGGTGTGTTAATTACACACGTACACGCGTAATTTATAAATTCGTATATCTTTTGCAATTTATTGATTTAAAAAAATAATTTAGATAATGCACGAAGTATACCGTAAACGTACTAGTTCAGTTCCGACTTTATGCATTTACGGAGAGTTTACTACAACAAGTTACTTGTACAGGCCCTGCGGTCTCGTGAAAGACTTCGACTACGAAAATGGCAACGTACCTTGTAGACGAAGCTATCTGGCGGCGAGTTCTCGGGCAAGAAGGCTTCGTAGACTTTCTTGTCGAACGTCGGGGGATTGTCGTTGATGTCGGACACGTTCACAGTCAAGGTAGCGACAGCCTGCTTGGGCTCGAAGCCCAGATCCGTGGCGGTGATGTTCAGCCTGTACTCCTGCACCAGGTCGTAATCCAGGGGCTCGAGTATGGTCACCGCCCCGGTTATGTAATGAACGAAGAATTCGTTCCTCTCGTTTCCAGCGGAGATCTTGTACCTGATCATTCCGTTAGGGCCGTGATCGCCATCGGTGGCGCTGACTGTCAGGATGGTGGTGTTTACAGGCTCGTTCTCGGGCACACGAACTTGGTAGCTAACCGCGGCGAAGGTAGGAGAGTGTTTGTTCTCCCCGGATATCACCAAGCTCAACGAAACCTCGTCCTTCTGAGGTGGCACGCCCTTGTCGATCGCCCGAGCGGTCAGCAGGAACGTCGTCCCGACCGCGACGTTGGCCAGACTCTTGCGAACGTAGATCCATCCCGTGGTTTCGTCGATGGAGAAGTACTTGCTTCCGTTTACGTTCGCCAAGTGGTAGCTGATCTCGGCGTTTACGCCAAAGTCGGCCTCGTCTTTGGCCACTAGCTGTATCACGCGTTTACCGACTCCGTACTTCTCGGGGACAGGGTAGAGGTAGGATCGTTGCTCGAACTTCGGAGGGTTGTTGTTGGCGTCCACGACACCTACGTAGATCACGGTCTTGGACGACATGGGCGGCTTGCCGTTGTCGGTGGCGACCACCGTCAGGGAGTACAGATTCTCTGGCGAGGAGGGCCGATGGGTGTGCTTGTAACGCAGGGTCTTCTTGCTGAACACGTCGCCCGTAGCTGGGTCCACGGTGAACAGGTCGGAGGGCTGCAGCAGGCTGTAGAATATCACCGAGTTCGGTCCCTGCTTGTCGCGATCGATCGCGGTCACTTGGCCAACGTGTGCCACGGCTGGCTGCAGCTCTGGGAAGTGGAAGTGGTACGAGTTCTCTTCGAATTCAGGCGCGTTATCGTTTTGGTCTTGGATGGTTATAGTCAAAGCGGTTTCTGTTTGCCACGCTCCGCCTTCTGCCTTCACCTGTGTTCACATTGTGTACATGTAATTCGTTTTAGTCTGATTCAACGACAACAGGTACAAGAGTAACACGTTCACTGCCAGACTGGTTCACATGGAAATTTCTGCAGGACTAAGATTTTCGCTCGAGAGAATTAGAAACCGTAGACCGGAGCTCGGAGAGATCTGCACTTTTCGGTCGTTCGTCGGTAATCCCCGCCAATGACCTGCCTGGAGGTTCAAGACCGTACCACCGTTACCGGTACCTCGCGAACAACTTGTTACTCTGGAATTCCGCTTAAAGATATGTTCGCAAGGTCCCGGCCAAGCGAGGTCCTGAGAAACGGCCCCTAGGCTACCTACAGCTAGACCTCGCCGAGCTCTGTCGTAGAGAAATTTCTAATATTTCTCCTATCAATTATTTTCGTATTCTCACGACAATTCACGAATTCTATCCTCTGTCACCAATGGATGACCCCCCGTGCATGGCATTCAACGCGTTAAGAGTGCGGCTTGCAATTGCTACCAACCTTCAGCAAGTACTCGTCCTGCTCCTCCCTATCCAAGTGTCCAGCCACGGTTACGTTGCCGCTCAGAGCGTCGATGGAGAACTTCATACCAGGATTGTCGGTGAAACTGTAAGTGACGTTGGCGTTCTGGCCGATGTCACGGTCGCTGGTGGTTATCCTGATGACGAACGTGCCGATTTCCGCGTTCTCCGTCACGTTGACGCTGAACAGCCGCGTGAAATGAGGCGGGTTGTCGTTCTTGTCCAGGACGGTGACCAGTACGGTAGCCGTGCCTGTCAGGGGTGGTTGACCGTGGTCGCGAGCCTCCACTACCAACTCGTAGGAAGCGATCTGTAATTTTAGCGGTATTAAGCTTGGTTTGTAACAACTCGAGGGTTGCGACGAGACGCGAGACGATTAGAGGGTGTTATTCGGTGGCGGCGGATGTAGATACGCATCGAGGCGCGATAACAAGAGCCCTCAGGGGTTGTAGCGGTGCTCGTAGCTACAGTACGGGCTTACCAACCCCGAGGTACCCGAGCTAGAGGGTACCGAATAGATGAGAAGTAAGACATACTGCAAACAGTATTAAAACAATGCAGGAGTCATGTAAGATGACGATAAGAAGAATGGAAATAAGCTAAGTAAGCAGTAGTGTAATAACTTTGTACAAGTTACGCACTTTAAATAAACGAATGAACAAATGATAACGCGAGAAAGGGTCGAGAGAGTGCGCTAGAGACAATGTGTGCGCGATGGAGTGTTGATAATGTACTTTATAAATTACAGACTTGTTTATGAATATATATTAATGAATATATGATGTATATATTATTACTTATATATATAGTACACTTATGTATATAGTATCATTGCTTGTCTATAATTTTATATATATATTTTATATATATATATCAAATTATCTATAATTGTCTATATCTATTTATCTATAATTATCTATAATTGTATATGTCTATATCTATTATCTATTAATTGTCTATAATTTTATATATATATATCAAATTATAGACAAGCAATGATACTATTTATCTCAGCGCTCGAAGTATAACACTATAAGTTAACAGTATGACATCTCCAGCAATGAATTAACCTAACTGTACCATTTTCAAATTCGTGGAATAGATTCCGTGCTGATTCTCTTAAACATCTCACCTCCTCGCGATCCAGCATCGCATTCGTGCTAATATTCCCCGTGTCCGAGTCGATGATGAACGTCTCCGTGAAGTCGTTCACCAAATAGTAAGACACCTGCCCGTTTTCGCCAGAGTCGCGATCCTTGGCGTATACTTTGGCGACGAACAAAGGTGGATCTTCGTTCTCGGGAACCGTGGCGTTGTAGATGGAGGCTTCCATGATGGGCGCGTTGTCGTTGGCGTCGGTGACGTTGACGAGGAGCTGAACGACGCTTCTCAGAGGTGGAATGTCCGAATCGCGCACCTCGATCCAAGCTTCGTAGTACGGCGCGGTCTCGTAATCGAAGCCGGCCGCGACTGATACCTGGAAACGAGCTCGCTCTTAACTTTAGAGACCTTGGTCGGGGACTCAGGGACTTGGTCGAATCTTTTCGAACGTATCTACAAAAATCGACCTTAGGCGGGAATTAATCTCCGGCGAATATTACGATACGAACTTTATTTTCGATATCTCTTAACATTCTTGCATACTGCAATTTCGTAGTTTCTTACTTAAAACTTTAAAACTTCAAATTTTATAGGTAATCCCGCGATTCATCTGCGTTACCTTCGTTTACATTGTTTGTTAATATTTATGTATATTTGTGTATTTGTCAACTGTCAACTATGTTTGTTTACTATTTGCTTTATTGTGTCAATTTTATAATGCGTTATGCCCGTATATATATATATATATATATATATATTGAAATAATTAAAAATTTCCTATGAATGCGTAAAGATCCGCGGTCTAGTCACAAGGATTTATCAAAATACAGTAAAGTCTCCATAAATGCACAAATGTCTCTACTTGTGCATTTCCGGAGAGTTTTACTGTAAAAACAAACCTCTCCGGTGTGAGGATCGATCTTGAGCGCGTCCCCGACGTTTCCGCCAGCCATTCCGTAGACTAGATTGCTCGCAGCGCCGTGTTTCGGCGTGGTAGCGTTCAGGGTAGTGATGGGTCTGCCCTCGGTCACGTCCTCGGGCAGCGTGAACGTCGTGTTCATGGTTCGACAAAAGCTGGGGAACAGCTGCCTCTCCCTCAGATGTATCACCAAGTCCGCGGTGTTGGATCGGGGTATCGCGCCGCAATCGGACGCCTGTATTTGCAGGTGGTACGTGGTCCCGTCGTTGGCCAACTCCTGCGTCGCTCTTATCACGCCGCTGTTCGAGTCGATCGCGAATCTCTCGGCGTCCATTCCCTGGAGACGATAGACGATCCGAGAGTTCTCGCCGTCGTCGTCGTCCACGGCTTTCGCGCCGAATACGAAATCACCTTTAAAGGAAGCGACGCCACAATCAGCGGCGTGTTTACATTCAAGTTTCTGTCTTATCCGTGTGCGTTACACAGGTTCACCCCGGCGCGCACCACCGGTGGCTCACGCACGCGTGTTTACCTAGATAGCGCGCACCACGCCGGCGTGAATGCGTCAACTTAAATTATCGGCGCTTTAGGACTTTGTTAGCCGTGTTTATGTTCGATTTGAATAGGTATACGAATTTTTCGGTGTCCGTGTATGAGATTTTGTACAAGGTACACGAAGATATTAAACATCGGATGTGCGAGTAGTTATCTCCGTTAAGGTTTCGTAAAATTGAATCCACCGTAGTAGACGGGACGCGACGAATATTTTCGTACGAGTAGATTTTCCAGAACTTTCGAATGCCCCCTTAAAGCCACGCTAACGACACCCAGCTTACCTGGTTTGGTAGCACCCGGCACATACGCCGTGTATATGGAACTGGAGAACCTGGGATCGTTGTCGTTCACATCCTTCACGAGGATGGTCAGATTCACGACCGAGGCTCGCGGTTCCGTAGGGCTGGAGTCCTGAGCCACCAAGGTCAGATGGTACACCGCCGTTTCTTCTCGATCCAGGGGTACCAGCGTGAACACTTCTCCCGTGTCAGGGTCCGCGCTAAACCGTTCCAGGTTTTCTCTCACCAAGCTATACCTGCGAAGTATTCGTAGGATTCGCGAGATATTCGCAAAGACATCGTTCGGTAGCGATCGATCAGGATCGCGTGTTGCTCACCTGATTTTCGCGTTGAGGCCCTCGTCTTTGTCCGTGGCGTGGACCTTGGCGACCCACGTACCGGAAGCCGAGTGCTCGGTGACCGTCGCCTTGTATTCCTGCCTCGTGAATTCCGGACTGTGATCGTTGACGTCCAGCACGACGATCCTAACGATGCCCGATCCAGTAAGCGGCGGAGAACCTGCGGAACAGGTTCGCTAATCGTAGATTGATCGTTCTATGATTACACAAACGTGCACTGCTAATCGAGCTACCATAAACGACGCGAAATCGAGAGCGTAAAAGGTCGTTCCATTTACTCGAATTCGGTGCTGGAATTCGGCTGGCGTACCATCGAACTTGGAACCGAGAACGACTCGTATCTTCGATCGACGCGCGATGTATATTCGTCTCGTGTTTTAGGTTTGGTCGTGGATATGGTTCGAAAGCTGACCGAGGGAGAGGGTGAAATAAAACAGATTTCCGACATCAACCGTTTGATTGCTAAGCAATTCTTGCAAGAACGCACGAAAACTGCGGGACATGTTTTGACTCGATGTCAAAGACGCACTGAAACTCGAGGCGCAAAAGTGCTGCGTCGCGGTTTTCCGGACAAATGAACCGAGCGGTTTTGCGCCGCGTAGCAAGTCAAACGGTTAAAGTCTTTAAGGGCCGGCGTGAACGTCGAAGGTTCGACGGGACGATTCGCTGGTGGCGTCGTTTCGTCGAGAGATCGCGATCGCCTAACGTTAAAGAAGACAAATTACGATTTCACCAAGTATCAGGCGGCTGGTACAGTCGAGTTAATTGCGCCGCCTAAAACAGGCCATTATTCTCCCGGGGGGACCCGATTTCTCTGATTGCAGCAGGTACATTGTACCCGCGGTGGCGTGGCCGTGGGCCACGCGCCTCTATAAGCGTATATCGTTCAATCACGTGGACCTCTCACGGGGAGGGCACCGACACAACAATTGCGGGGCACAATGGTGTGGTCCACCATAGGCGGCGTTCCCCGGTGGGCAATCCCACAGAAATACACTTGGCTTACGCTAGCGACGTGTTCTCCTTATACGTCTGCTTAATCAACGTGGCCTGAGGCCAACAACCCCCGCCCTCTCACCCTCCTCGCCCCTACTTATCGGAATATTAAAATACGATTCGTTGCCGGAGCTACCGTGGAAAATGCGGAGGCAATTCTAAGATTTGAAATTGACGCGTTCGACGGCTTTCGCGCGAAAGAATCTGTTTTTTTTTTTTTTTTTTCGGAGCTCGAAACTTCGCGCAGACATCGCGAGCGAACGCCCTTGCTCGGTTCGTGCGACGCAACAAAAGGTCTCGGGCCCTTGGTTAACGCCTGATGGGGGGACACACGTTTTCGGGTGGACACCGATGGCGTACGCGCGATAGCCGGCGCGCACATACGCGACAGCCATAATCGCGTATGAATAAAATAGGAATATAATGCGCGGGCGCGAGCAGGATTCTCGAGAGCGAGAGAGAGAGCGAGAGCGAGAGCGAGAGAGAGAGAGAGAGAGAGAGAGAGAGAGAGAGAGAGAGAGAGAG